ATATATACAAAGATAAAATCAAATAATTAATATAAACGTAAAAAAAAAGGAAATGTTAAATGTTGAATAAAATAAAAATGTATATTATTAAAAAAATGATATAATCCTAATAATTAAAGTAATATTGTGCAATTAAATAGAATAAAAGGAGTCATATAAACATGAGAAGTTATAAGATATAGTGAAAATATTTATATTAACATAAGAAGTGCAAATAAAAGTATTTAAATGAACACATAATTGAAAATGTTGTGTGTGTGTGTGTGTGTGTGTGTGTGTGTGTGTGTGGTGTGTGTGTGTGGTGTGTGTGTGTGTGTGTGTGTGTGTGTGTGTGTGTGTGTGTGTGTGTGTGTGTGTGTGTGTGTGTGTGTGTGTGTGTGTGTGTGTGTGTGTGTGTGTGTGTGTGTGTGTGTGTGTGTGTGTGTGTGTGTGTGTGCCAATTAGAGATCACTAAGAGCCTGTCGTAGTGAGGAAATAATGGAGCCGTGCTCATTCACATAATTATGCAACATTCGGGACGAGTGACTAATGGCAGGCGGAAAAAGAGAGTACACTTTATATCTTGTTTCTTTGCCATTATAATTTATTTTAGCATCGTTGCATATCTCCTGTCTGTGAGAGTAAATGGCAGAGCTGAGGCGCCGCAGTAAGACTTCAGAGATTTACGAGATGAAGGAGAAGCTACCCAACTGAGATTAAGAAGAGAAGAGCAACGTCTTTCGCTTCCCCGTCTCCCTCGACCCCTGGATTAAAAAGTGTGGATTCATTTTGTGATTTTTAATGATATGAAGATCTCAGGTCTAAATGAGAGAAGCAGTTACGTGTTAATGACGTTTTTCTCTACGGTTTTAAGCCTTTTCTTCACTCTGTGGACGATATTTAAGTGGCAATAGACAACTCTGCCATCCCTATAGGGACTGTAACTCGCGGACGCTGAAGCGCACACACCACGCGTATGAAAATGCATTTAAAAATGTTTTTTGTTGTTGAAATAAATTAAAATCCCTACTTCTCCTTTCCACCGACCCCCTGCAATCCCCTCAAGAACCCCTCGGGTTCTCCTAAATGTATTTCCATATTTCTTTAGGGCGAAGTCCATGGAAATTCTGTGAAAAAAGCCTAGCTGCAGCGGCTGCAGAGACCCCAACATGCCGGGAGTGTAGAAAAAAAAGTGTTGAATACAATGTCAAAGGGTTTAATAAAGAGTCAATCTAGGCAAATCTTCACAGATCATCACAGAGACAAAGAGGTGGGGTACACGAGACAAAGAGGTACACGAGATAAAGAGGTACACGAGATAAAGAGGTACACGAGATAAAGAGGTACACGAGATAAAGAGGTACACGAGATAAAGAGGTACACGAGATAAAGAGGTACACGAGATAAAGAGGTACACGAGATAAAGAGGTACACGAGATAAAGAGGTGGGGTACACGAGACAAAGAGGTGGGGTAAGGCAAGGCAAGTTTATTTATAAAGCACCTTTCAAAACAAGGCCATTCAAAGCGCTTTACCAAAATGAAAGACATTAAGAAACATAATAAAAAATAGCATTTAAAAACACTCATTAAAAAGCAACGATAATAAAACATGAATAACAAAGGTACATGAGTAAAAGTCACAGTGCAGTGTGAGATGTGAATATATGGATACACCTCCTGTGGAGCTCCATTAGCATCTGTGTGGCGTTCAGGCGCACGTTGTTGTTTTATGTATCTGTCGGTATCACCTCTGAATCTGAACCCTTTCATCTCCTGTCGCAGTGTGAGGGGAAGCTGCTCTCTTTTCATCTGGGAGGCAGGAAGTCGTGGGGGGGGGGGGGGGGGGGGGGGGTTTGATGCTCCTCCTGCATGACCTTCAGCTCTTCCTGGTTTCAAGGTCGTGTCTGCAGGCTGACCTCTGAACTCTTCATCATGAAAAACAAGTTTATAAAGGAGTGAAAGGTCTGCCGTAGACAGCAGGGACAGGCTGGAAAATATCTGGAAAATATGCAAATGGGAAATACTCGAAAAATGCCAGAAGATTGCTTCAGAAAATGACGTAGAAAATATCTAACTATATGTCCTAAAAACAAGAGAAGTGTCTGAAAATGTATGACAGAAATGATTTGAGTCAACAGTATACAAAAACATCTACAGCAGAACATTTTTAAATAAATTATTATAGAAATATCTGAAAGAATACATAGAAAAACATATTAATAAGATGATTAATATTGGACAAATATGTAAAATGTTCTACCCAAAAAGTGTGTGAACAATGTAAGTAAAAATTGGAAAAGAAATGTCAATAAAATACGTAACAAATATATTAGTGAAAAATGTCCAAATAATGAGTAAAATAGGACTTGTTTTGAGACACCTGGTTCAAACAGGACAGAACTACAAACATACGATGATCTCGTAGAATATATATTAAACTAGCCAACGGTATAACTTTTACTGCAGTGAAGGTCTGCTTACGTTTAATATCGTCAGGATCGAAGCAGTGCGGACGATATGTGGAATAAAGTTTAGTAAAGAAATGAGTCGGAGGGATGGAGTATTTCAGATCAGTATTTCTGGATCGAGAGAGGAAATGAACTCCCGTCTGCAGCTCTGAGCTCAGTTTCAGTCTGAAAGAATCTCTTCGTGCCCGCGTGGATTCGTTTCTGTGGTTTCTGTGGTTTCTGTGGATTCTGTGGTTTCTTCACCGTTCCTGCGCAGAGGTCATTAAGTCCTGAAACAAAGGAGGCGGTGGGACAGGAACGGCAGGCTGGAGGAATGTCTTCACTGGAGACTTCCTGAACTCCGACACCGAGAAACTGAGCTAATAATAACAAAACCAGTGGTGGAGGAAGTTTAGAGGCTTTACTGACTTAGAAAACGTACTGATATCACACTGTAGAGGCATTGTTATTATTATCATTATTACTGTTTTAACTTTATTTGTATTGATTGATTTGCCATAGAAATCCAGTCTTTCTTTTCATTTCATAGCATCGTGTTTAGAGTACAATGTAATAATCAATCTCCACTCAGGCTGACACATTACCACCAGAGTAAAACAACCGGTACTGCACAAGTGAATTCATGGAGAACAGGTATAAGTCACAGTCAAAGCATTCAATTACTTTATTTAAAGTTAGAGTATATTTTAAAATAAATAAAGTATCATTAGAGCCTCATGGTGTCTTCTTACAGATCTCCATCAGTCTCATGTTGAGTCTCCATGGAGACGAGGCTTAATGGATTTCTCTCAGTGTAACCACAACAGCTGACAGACACACACACACACACACACACACACACACACACACACACACACACACACACACACACACACACACACACACACACACACACACACACACACACACACACACACTGTAATCAATGGGCAGCTGTCTGAGTCCCTCTGTGTTGTTATTGATTTTTGGGCTGAAAAGCATCCGTTCACACACCGAGGACTCGCAGACCTTTTTCCTCCTGAGTGGATCTTTATTTCGAGGTCTGATTGAAGAAGTGGACATTTTGAAACTCAAATCACATCTTTTTAAATGAGCATTTTTATTAGTGACACCCCCTTTTAATTGGTCTTTAAATCTTTATTATTATTTATTTGTATTTTGTTTTATTAATTTATTCTATAGGTTTTTTATTTATTTTATCTTTTTATTCTTATGTTTTATTCACTTATTTTATTGTTTTAATATATTTATTTATTTAGTCTATTTTTACCGAGAGGGATCATTATTTACTTCATTGTATATTATTCTTATTATCACACCTTCTTCAAAGTCTTTGGTACCTTTCACTGCAGTGACCTAAACTACATTTTGATTCGGCCCTCAGCAAATTCAAAAAGTATAATGGAATACGGCCCACAACTGAAACTTGAGCTTTTCTTGTGTTGTACTTATTAAATATATCTGTAAACATATATTACTCAGTAGTGTTCATGTGTTAATAAGACCACTTTACAATCAATTCAGTCAATTACATTTGAAAATATGTTCTAACAAATCTAAGTCGATAAGAAAAAAGCCCAAGCTTGAAATAAACCACGACAATCAATCTGAGGCTTCTGTTAGGGATGAGCTGCCAACAAATTAAATGAAACTCTCTTTAGAGCTGGGATGTAGGATCTTTATTTTTCTTAAAGGGGACCTATCATGCAAAATGCACTTTGTGATGTCTTTTATACATAAATGTGTCCCCGGTGCGTCGGGGAACTCACGCAGCGTCAGAAAATAAAACCCTCTCTCTTTTCCTCCATACCCAAATCTTTTAAAAACGGGTGTACAACGAGCGGATACAGATTCCATCCGATCTGACGTAGAATCGGCGGACCCACAGAAAGTTGCTATCAGAAACAATGCCTGACGTGTTTTGGACGTCTTTGTTTACATTAGCAAGCCTCGCTAACACTCAGAGCTAACCTGTACTGGAGAGCACATGTGTTTAAAAAGCAGGAAATAAAAAAAGGAACTCACCTTGTGATAAACCTGAGAGAGAAAAAGCATTTGAGCTCCATACTGTTTCAGAAATAATCCTTGATGTGGTTTAAACAGGATGGCGAAATATCACAACCGAATTTAACTTTATCTCCGGTAGAATTCTGATCAGGCATTAGCTCTGCCTCCTCGTATTAATCTTTTTCAAGCTAAGGACCCAAGATCCGCGTTTCTCTAACAGGGCTGCAAAAGAGGGGTTTGAGCAGTATGAGGCATGGCTACAACGGGTGATCTGTTTGGTATTTTGAAAAAAACCCGTCACAGACATGTTTTGTATAGGTATGGCCCTACAATATATTATTCAAATATAGCATGATAGGTCCACTTTAAAGCAGATTCAAGTATCTTTTGATTGATTTTGCAAACTTATAACTTAACTTATGAGGCGATATACCTCTAGTGAGTGGCCCAGCCCTTCGAATATTATGTGGCCTTCGTGAAAAAAAGTTTGGACCCCCCTGTTCTAGATCAAACATGCGTTACCGTCTCTCTTTCTCTCTCTCAGTGATGTTTGTCTGCTGCCTGCCCGACATCTTCCGGAAGTTGATGGTGGAGTTTCGGCGTGCGGACCTTCCTCACGAGCAGTACGTCTTCTTCTTCATCGACGTGTTCGCAGGCAGCCTGAAGCACGGAGAGCCGTGGTGGCGCGGAGACAAGGACGACGCCGTCGCCAGGGACGCCTTCCAGGTAACCATGGCTACTTCAGAAACACCAATAAAATCTGCACAGGTGGGAGAAGTACTCAGTCAGTCTGTCTCATAACTGTCAGTGTTTGTAAGTATATCTGAAATGACTAGGTTAGCTACGTTAGCTAGCTAGCTTACAGCAGATCTGCAGTGACATCAGAAGGAGTCATGTGATCACATTGTTAAAATAAGACCATCAAACATTTTAGGTAAGTTTCCAACAACAGAGACAGTTGTTCAGCTTTATGATCCTGAACGCCACCAAGCGCCCCGTCCCAGCTGTGTGCGTCACTTTTTAGTGTCCCCTGGTCTCCCAGCTGTGTGCGTCACTTTTTAATGTCCCCTGGTCTCCCAGCTGTGTGCGTCACTTTTTAATGTCCCCTGGTCTCCCAGCTGTGTGCGTCACTCTTTAGTGTCCCCTGGTCTCCCAGCTGTGCGCGTCACTCTTTAGTGTCCCCTGGTCTCCCAGCTGTGTGCGTCACTCTTTAGTGTCCCCTAGTCTCCCAGCTGTGTGCGTCACTTTTTAATGTCCCCTGGTCTCCCAGCTGTGTGCGTCACTCTTTAGTGTCCCCTGGTCTCTCATGTGTGCGTTACTCTTTAGTGTACCCTGGTCTCCAGCTGTGTGCGTCACTCTTTAGTGTCCCCTGGTCTCCAGCTGTGTGCGTCACTCTTTAGTGTCCCCTGGTCTCCCAGCTGTGTGCGTCACTCTTTAGTGTCCCCTGGTCTCCGTTGTGTTTGAGCTTCTTCAGCGTTTGGTTTCTGCAGCTTTTAGTAAACGCTGCATGTCTCCTCAAGTTGCTGAATGTTCTCTAAATGCTGCAGGTGTTGTCAAGTTGATGAAGATGTTTCTTCATGTGGAACATTTGTGTTTTTATATCTGAATCCTTTCTGAAGCTGCAGCGAGTTTCTCCTGATGGAAGAGTTTTGGCGTGTTTGCACCTGTGAGCCACCGTAGTCTTTTACTGTGGAAAATGAATATTGAACAATTGAAAGGAAAATAAAGTAATTATCCCGGGGAAGATCTCCTCCTGTCTCCGGTTTGTTTTAATGGAGTAAAATGAAGTGCGTCTCCAGGACTACTGACAGCCGAGCAGCTGCTCTGAAACAACACGGCGTGTTTACAGAGACAACAGCTCCTCACCGGAGAGGAATTCAGAGAGACGTGCAGAAACACTTAAGGAGACAGTGTGTGTGTGTGTGTGTGTGTGTGTGTGTGTGTGTGTGTGTGTGTGTGTGTGTGTGTGTGTGTGTTGTGTGTGTGTGTGTGTGTGTGTGTGTGTGTGTGTGTGTGTTGTGTGTGTGTGTGTGTGTGTGTGTGTGTGTGTGTGTGTGTTGTGTGTGTGTGTGTGTGTGTGTGTGTGTGTGTTGTGTGTGTCTGTGTGTGTGTCTGTGTGTGTGTCTTGACAGATCCAGATTAATAGCATCAAGTATCATCAATAAACTTTAACTTCACACCTTGAGTCTGTGAGCAGCCGTGGTCCACTTTGGAAATTCTTTATTTGGACTTTTAGTGTTTTTTTTCTGGGTTTTCCCATCCCTGTAGTGTTATAGGTTTTAGTGCATGTAAATGGTCTGCAGAGGCTGAAATCCCTGTGTTCCCTCCAGAGGGAGTTTCTCTCACACACACATTTTGATTCTCAGATTAGGTAACTTGTATTTGTGATGGATTACATTTATTTTAATCCAAGACCATGAGGAAACTATTTTTTAATAAAGCCTGGTTTATTATGTTTATGTATGTAGTGCAGTTATTACATATTTATGACGTGTGTGTTTTATACTGCGTGACTTCCTGTGTGCAGAACGTGAAGATCCTGACGTACCGCGAGCCGCAGAACCCCGAGTACCGAGAGTTCGTGAAGAACCTGAAGATAGACGCCATGGAAATGTTCAACTACACCATCGAGGACTCACTGGTGTGTGTGTGTGTGTGTGTGTGTATGTGTATGTGTGTATTAAATATAACAAGAGGAAATGAAATGATTAATCAAATTGCACCTGATAATCTCACACTGGAAGATTTTAACGACGTAGAGATGAAAACAGACATTGTTATGCAAATGTGTAATTACTGTTGTCACTGCAGCTGCACGGCCCACACACACACACACACACACACACACACACACAAACACAGACACACACGCACACGCACACACACACACACACACACACACACACACACACACACACACACACTAAAATATTACGATACTATGTGGAAAAACAGGACAAAGGAAACAAACAGGTGGCAGCAAACACAACCAATCGTCACATGACAATTATAATGTACTTTTCTGTAAAACATATACTGTATATATGTATGTATGTATATATACACGGTATATATACATACCTAAGATATTGGTTCAAGTAACTAGCAGGAGACAACTCAATATATAAAATAGAAATAGTTAAACATAAATACTGTGAAGTGATCCATAGGAACATATTTTGTATCTTAGTTTGTTTACCAGTGTTTTTTTGTTTTTCTCTTGCAGATGAACATAATAGCGGGGGGGTTTTACGACGGTCTGATGCTCTACACACACGCTCTGAACGAGACGATGTCGCTGTCCGCCGGCCGGCCGGCAGGGAAGGTCGTCACCCAGAGGATGTGGAACCGAACGTTTCACGGTCAGTGCTTTTTCAGTGTTTCGGTTACGAAGAGCTAATGTAGAGTTATTTAAAGGACTCCTATCGTGCAAAATGCACTTTTTTATGTCCTTTATACATCACCATGTGTCCCCGGTGTGTCCCCGGTGTGTCCCCGGTGTGTCAGGAGACTCACAAAGTGTCATCTCTAACAACAGGGGAACAACGGAGCTGATCCAGATTTGCGTCCGATATGACTTAAAGGGCCCATGTCATGGCCATTTCCACTGATCATAATTACATTGTTGAGGTATACTAAAATAGATTTATACTGTGCAATTTTCCAAACTCACATTGGTTTCGCATACAGCATCTCTGTCAAGCATGTGTATTCAGCAGTATTCACTTTCTCCACTAAACGACTCGTTGGAGCTCTTGCCCCCCCCCTCCCTGTGAGCCTAGTGTGCTCCGATTGGTCAGCTCGGCCACTCGTTCTGATTAGTCAACCACCAGAGAGGCTGCGCCCATGTCAGTGCTTTTCCCGGCTGCTCTCAGCGTAACATCAGTCTTATCATGGCGTCGGTACAGCGGTATATTTTATATACATATATATTTTTAACTGTTGTTATAGAAGAGTGTGACGGCCCCAGGGCCTTTGTCTTACGATGGGGTGGAGCTGAAGAGGCTAATCAGCACGATCACGGACACCTCCGGACACAGTCTCTCTCCAAAGCGGCTGCAGGAAGACTAACTCTGCGATCCTCTCAACCACCTGTCTCTGCATTTACCACAATAAATGTGCCGTGGTTTTGTAAACTCGTGTATGTCTCCTTGTCTTTCCGTTGTGGCCTATGAGCTACTCTCATAACAAAGAGTAAGTTATTTTTACCCGTTATAAACTACTACTGTTTGATGAGAAATCAAATCATGGTTTGCTATATGAATTCAGGGAAGAAAGGATAGGCCTACTAAGTATTTCCATTAAACTTTATTTTTAGAAATGTACAAAATGAACATAAATATACATATATACACGGTATATCATCCATTCCTCCTCCTCGCATCTTGCCTGCGCACAGTCGGTGCGGTGCCTTTTAGCACGACGCCTCAGTAGTAGTAGAATCCCTTCCCCGTCATGGATTGTCCGCCAGGATCTGGCTGGACGAAATCAAATGCAAATCACAAAATATTAGAGAAACTTAGTTGTTTTAGATTCGTTAGTAGTAGTTGTGTAATGAACAGCTTGCCTGCTAATATGCTAACCTAGCTTTGTTTACCTTGGTAGCTAACACGATATGAACGTTAGCTTGGAGGAAAGGCAACTATAATGCAGTGTAATAAAACTACTATGAACAAAAGCTAGTGGTTCATATTAGGCTAGCAATAACGTGTTTATAATTGCAATCGTATACGGGTATTCTGCTACCATACAATGTAACTTGCATGAATACATTGTTTTGCGCTAGCATACAGCTAGCCTCGTTAGCTACATGCAGTATATGTACGGTCACAATGTACGGTAAATCACAGTACAGTATACTGTATGAGTATTCCGTGTGTGTGACTGCAGACATTCTCCTGCCATGACAAACATGTAAGGCCATCTGCTGACATGGTAGTTGATATATTTAAACGCTAGCAACGTAGCATCACAAAAATGTTTTTCTGACCAAAACTAGCTCTAGCTCCGTGTGTTAGATCGCTACGCCAGCTATAATGTAATTACGTTTCGCGACTGACCGGCAAATCACCCGGAGTATACTGTCAATAGGTATTTTGTGTGTGAATGCAGACATTCTCCTGCTATGAGATACATGTATGCAAGGCCATCTGCTGATATTAGAGTTGATATATGGAAACTCTAGCAACTTAGTTAGCACAGTTAGCACTGTGTCAATGGCTTAGCAGTCCAACACAGTTTACACATTTAAACAGTCTTGTTTGATAAATACACAAATAACAATGCAAACTTACAGGTTGTATACCCAGATCTTCCCCTGCTCCAAACGGTCCAAACAAGCTGTGCATATCCGGCCTCAAACTGGGCAATGTTTTGGAAGCTTTCGTCTGTGAAATGCCGGTTCTTCGAACCTCTGGAGGAGGAACACGCCGCTGCTGGTGTGGCCATAGCTCTTCGGGATTGGTCCATTTCGTTCCGGGTACCGCATGACATCATGCGGTACCCGGAAGAATCAAATGGGCAGTGACGTATCTCCAACGAGGCGTTTTGGGGAGGTATTTTCTGTGTTAGAGTTTTACTCGCTACAGGGTGTACTTTGAGGGTTTTGACTCTGCACACCGTTTACATGCATAAAAACCTTCATAACACACAAGGGGACGGGTAATAACCGGAAAAGCATGACATGGGAGCTTTAATATCTAAAATGTGGGCGGGCTTTAGACCCACGGGCCAATCAGAAACGTTGCTGTCAGAAACAATGAGACGTGTTCTGGACGTAATATGGTCAGTGTTTACATTAGCATGCTAACACTCAGAGCTAACCTGTACTGGAGAGAGTATGTGTAAAGAAGCAGGAAATCAAAAGGTACTGACCTTGTGGTAAACCTGAGAGAGAAAAAGAGTTTGAGCTCCATACTGTTTCAGAAATAATCCTTGATGTGGTTTGGAACATGATATGGAGTTTAATCAACATTTTTTTTTAAAGCTAAGGACCCAGAATCAGCACTTTAGTAACAGCTGAAATAGAGGGGTTTGAGGCTAGAATTGATGATCTGTTTGATATTTTGAGCAAAACACTTCAGACATGTTTTGTTTAGATATCGCCCTTTGTATTTTTTATATATCTGAGACCTATAAAATATGCCTGAAAATAGTATAATAGGAGACCTTTAAACAGCCGCAGGTTTCAGCAGGAGGACATCTGAAGAGCGTCCCTGCAGGATGAGAGACACCTGAGAAATGTGACACCAATCAAAAGTCTCCTGACACCGAGGTCAACCTCATTCAGAGGAGGGTTATTAAACGTGTGTGTGTGTGTGTGTGTGTGTGTGTGTGTGTGTGTGTGTGTGTGTGTGTGTGTGTGTGTGTGTGTGTGTGTGTGTGTGTGTGTGTGTGTGTGTGTGTGTGTGTGTGTGTGTGTGTGTGTGTGTGTGTGTTAGGAAATAGTGCTTGTTTGCAGCAGCAGCAGGGAGGCATTAACATCTTTCATTATTGCAGAACCTTTTGGCAGGTCTGTGGGCGTTGAGCCTTTAGTTCTACGTCCAGCAGCATGCGTTCATCTCCTCAGACCAGCAGGAAAGCCTCGTCCATCACCGCGTCTCATTCATAAAACACACAAACCAAACACAGTCTTGATCTCTGCTTCTTTGAACAAATGATTCCCTCCATTTAGTTTGACCTTTTATCCCTCTTTCACAATAAAATCCCCACATGAGGCCAGAGAGGTTGGAGCGATCCGGTGTCGTGCAACACTTCCTCCCCGCTGGTGATTTCTCTCAACGTTTCTCTGGAACGTTTCATGATGAAACACAAACAGGCTGCGGGTTCCTACAGGACGATCTGAATGCTCTGCACGTATTTCAATATCTGTATTGAACCTGGCAGGACTCACAGGCCCATCTAGTGTCCCCTGGTCTCCAGCTGTGTGCGTCACTCTTTAGTGTCCCCTGGTCTCCCGGCTGTGTGCGTCACTCTTTAGTGTCCCCTGGTCTCCCAGCTGTGTGCGTCACTCTTTAGTGTCCCCTGGTCTCCAGCTGTGTGCGTCACTCTTTAGTGTCCCCTGGTCTCCAGCTGTGTGCGTCACTCTTTAGTGTCCCCTGGTCTCCAGCTGTGTGCGTCACTCTTTAGTGTCCCCTGGTCTCCCAGCTGTGTGCGTCACTCTTTAGTGTCCCCTGGTCTCCCAGCTGTGTGCGTCACTCTTTAGTGTCCCCTGGTCTCCCAGCTGTGTGCGTCACTCTTTAGTGTCCCCTGGTCTCCCAGCTGTGTGCGTCACTCTTTAGTGTCCCCTGGTCTCCCAGCTGTGTGCGTCACTCTTTAGTGTCCCCTGGTCTCCCAGCTGTGTGCGTCACTCTTTAGTGTCCCCTGGTCTCCCAGCTGTGTGCGTCACTCTTTAGTGTCCCCTGGTCTCCCAGCTGTGTGCGTCACTCTTTAGTGTCCCCTGGTCTCCCAGCTGTGTGCGTCACTCTTTAGTGTCCCCTGGTCTCCCAGCTGTGTGCGTCACTCTTTAGTGTCCCCTGGTCTCCCAGCTGTGTGCGTCACTCTTTAGTGTCCCCTGGTCTCCGTTGTGTTTTGAGCTTCTGCAGCGTTTTGTATTTGCAGCTTTTAGTAAACGCTGCGCATGTCTCCTCAAGTTGCTGAATGTTCTCTAAATGCTGCATGTGTTGTGAAGTCGCTGAAGATGTAACCCTAAAATTCCTGAATTTAAGTAAAAGTACAAAAGTATTTTCACCGTAGTGTACTTAAAGGAGGAAAGTAAAAGTACTCATTGTACAGAATGACCCTTTTTTACACTTCTGAAAGTCTCTGAATCTGCAGTAACAGTCATTGTATTATCTTCTACTTGAATTAGCTATCATGGTTTATATAAGTATTTCTACACGGAGGTATTACTACTCTTAATATCCGAGTCCTTCTTCCAGCTGTTGCGTTTTAGATTGATTGTTTAGAGCAGCGTTTGTTTTTGTTGGTCCGGAGGAAGTTTCTGTACGTCACCCTGCAGATCCCGGTGATGGATGACACGAGACTCCAGCGGCTTTTACTCCAAAACACACAAACCACACACACATATATAAAAACACACACACTCTCACTCTCTTTTATTTGGAAGGGTCAGAGGTCATCAAGGGTCGTCGGGCTGGAGGAGGAGGACGCTGACTGATCTGTGACTTTTATTTGCAAAGTAGAAATATGTCTGGGCGAGGTTTATTTATACATCACATTTTTTAACAACAGTGCATTTCAAAGTGCTTTAAAGCAGTAAGACGAAAAACACATAAAAAAGCCAAGATAATTAAAACAAGATGAAATAGAATAAAAGAGGAACATTACAGAGTAGTGTCGGACATGAATAAACATTAAAGGT